AATAGATAACTTCCAATCTATCTCTGGTCTTAAAAATAATGAGCAGTTAGTATTTATATTTGGGGGGCATTTTTTCTCTCCTCTTTCTCTTGTAAGAGAAATGTACAACCCCTCCTTAATCCCACCAATAATCAGGTTGTAAATGTCTGTATCTCTGGGTTAGATTTTTAAGGTATCCCAGGACTAAAAACATAGGATAAAGTTACAGTATTTCATTCTTATTCAGTGTTAATCATTCAGATAGATAGATAGATAGATAGATAGATAGATAGATAGATAGATAGATAGATAGATAGATAGATAATAGATGATAGATAAAATGATTCAATTGCAGAATGATCCCTTTCAGACATATTATATGCCATTCTCTGTTGGTCATGTCCAAAATGAGAAATACCAAGCTGCCTGCTTGATGTTCATATTTGTTTAATAAATATTTAATAAATATCCTATTTACACTCACCTTTATGGCTGCCGTTCTAAAAAGTAGTTTTTCAGCAGAATGTCTGTCCTTTACTTGATTGACTACAACCATAAAGTTATAGTGACAGCCTCCAAAGGTCAGGACAGAGGAATACGAGTAGGTCAGTTTTAAACACTGCGTATAAATCAAAGACAGACAAGTAAAGAAAATAAAATATTAGGCAAGCGAACCGGTCTTTTAAATCCTTCCCTGTGGTTTAGTACTCACCTAAAAGAGCAGGTTTAAGACATTTAAGAAAATCCAGTGAGTTCTAACATACAAAATGATGTCATTGCACATAAGAAGCCCAAGTTATGGATTGATTGATTTTCACATTTTTAAATGACATCCATATATACACAAAGCATTATGCATTGGAAAGGGTCGTTCCAAATAAATTTTCCATTTGAATCTTGAAGAGTAATAAAAGCCCCAAATTTTTGCCTGCATGCCTATTATTTCATCTCCCTGGCAAATACTATACGTAATTTAAGATGGCCTTAATAAGACTAGCTTTCTATGGAGGAAGATTCTCTCTCTCTCTTTGTTAAAACTGTTTATGTACAGAGAATACTAATTCATAGACATTGGGAAGATCCATAAGTACTGTAAGCAGACAGTGCCTACTTCAAGGTATAGCAATATCAAGAACCTAGAATCCAACCATTGTAATCCCCCAAAACCACTAGAAAGAGCGGTTCTTTTTCTGTCTGAAGCATGAAAACAAAATGACTCCCATCAACATATATGCCCATACATTCAGAGTGGACTTCAGTTCACAAATCATTAGTAGTTTTGGACAAGCCAGTGTCAATCTGATTTTTAAAAGAAGGAATTAATAATGAGAGTAAAGTACAGTATATTGCCAGATGAATGGTTAAACTGTGAGGCTTCACACAGGGACAGAGCACTAGTGTAAATCTCAGCTTTTCAGTCATTTAACCCTTTATTCACCAATAGCTTACTCAGCAGAAGACTCAGATATGATTTGGCTAGATCAGAGCCTTTATTGCAGGCAAGAATGAAGCTACGCACACAAACATGATTTGTCCTCTGCAGTGCAAAAAACCCAAAAATTTGGGGCTTTTATTACTCTTCAAGATTCAAATGGAAAATTTATTTGGAATGACCCTTTCCAATGCATAATGCTTTGGGTATATATGGATGTCATTTAAAAATGTGAAAATCAATCAATCCATAACTTGGGCTTCTTTAGATAGGCTTTGAATACCTGATTTCAATAAAAATAAATGATAATTCCATAACATCTTAAGGGGATAATGTATCTCTATTTTCCAAGCTGAACCATTTCTGAATTGTGCAGCTGGAGAAAATAACACTGAATTCTCTACAATATTTCTCACCATACCAAAGTATTATACAGTATTCCAGTAAACTGAGGCCATCTTCATTCACATCTATCCACGCTGGAGAATCTTCCATAGGAGAAGGTAGGACAGGCTGAGAAAATAAGACAATGTGAAACAATTTCGTTATAATTTCATACTACTATACCATTCTGGGGCAACTAGTTTACTTGAAATAATTGATACATAATATCCACATACTGTAATCATATCTGTGAAAATCTGGACCGATATGTCCATTACAGATTCTAAGGAAATGCCTTCTGGCTTTCATTATGTAACATATTTTAGAACAAAATACCCAAAGACTATATTTTATCCTAACAAAAGATAATATTTTGACATTGCAACCCATACATTCAAGAGAAATTACATTACTTTGAGATTAAAATAAACTGATTATATTTTGCAGTTCTATGTTTTATTGCAGGTTTTTTTTTTAACAAAATAGCTATTAACTAAATGCCTTTCTGGGTGGTAAAAAAGTATGGTACTGCCAGAAGGCTTTGGAACTGCTGTGCGTATATTGCTAAAAGAAAATGTATCTTGAAAAGTTTCTCAGATTCCGTTCCAACTCAGTAAAGATTTTATACACTTTAGGAAATTTCAGCCCCTGTTCCTAGAATGTGAACATGAAATGATTCCAGGGGCATAAAAATAGATAAGGACTGTAAGGCACTCTGAATATTAAACAAGCTTGATTAAATTGTTATTAATAATGCACTGGTGATACCTCTTGTGGGCTTCATTTAATACAAAACATTGATAAGGGTTCTGATCAGTCAGTCAGATAATTTCTTCAGTACAAGTTTGTACACTTAAAACTAGAATTCAGACTTTCCCAAAGACAGTGTAATGATAGTGATTCTTAGTAATTGAAAGATAATATGTTTAGTAGCTTAGAAACCATATGTGATGGGCACATCTTTATCTATTCCTGTGACCTTAGCAGAAAAAAATTTGGCTCCCAAAAGAAGCCATTTTTGGACCACAGTCAAATAGATCTGAATATATTCTCACAAAAAGCATCCAGGTAAAACCATCCATTTTGTAGCTAGTTGATCAGTCAGCTTTCTATAGGAATAAAAGCAATTCATGGTCAACTCAAAATGAAGACTTGTAAAAATGATTCATTCATATAATAAATATTGAAGAGCTGAAGATAGTGCTTTCCAAAATAATTTATTAAAAAATTAAATTTTATTATTTAAAATGTTTATTAAAACGTTTACAGAGAAACAATATAGAACATATGCTTTAGATAATAACAATTTAAATTTATGTTACAGTTATTAACCAATTACATGAGTTAATTCACAAGTTTGAAATGTAGGTAAAACTTTTTCCCCAAGAAGAGATGTCAGAACTTAGTAAGCAGGAACAAAAATTAGGCAATTAAAATTAGACAGTTAAAAACAAAGCTCAATTACTGGCTTTTTTTTAAAGCGTAGAATTTTTTAAAAGACCACAAGAATATGAACAATAATAATGAAATATGGCACTACTTAAAGGCAAACATATATGATTGGTCCAATTCTTGTGCAATTAAAGTAAAATAACTTATGGGGAAGCTTACTAACTACCGAGAAAGTGTGAACGGTTATATATCTAAGTCAAAGTCAGAAAAAATATATCTGCAACTTAATTAGAATGTTAATTTCTTTAAACAAATCTATAAGGTTAACTGGATAATTAAAAGAATACCATATTTTTCCGACAATAAGACGCCCCCATGTACAAGATGACTCCCACTTTTCTAACCCAAAATTAAAAAATCAATATTTTAAAGATAGTGCAGAACACATTTT